AAATGTCCAGAAGATATTCTTTTTCTCTTATAGTCTTTAGTTTTTCAAATGTGTGTGTTTTCAGACCGTGCTGTTTTCAAATTAAAACAGGTTCTTCAGTGTTTTCAAAACACTCAGTTTTTGTGGGTTAAAGAAGCCAGAGTAGTGTGGATGCCTGGCATAAACCAGAACAAAAATCATGCACTATAGTGTAAACAGCAATATTAAGCTTTATAAAAAAGGCCATAATTTGTTTCCATTAATAAACCAAATAAAATAAACTTAAAAAAATTAAGATGTTTAAAAAAGTTGATTTCATTTGATTACATGCAAATACAAAAATTATAATAAATATGCAAAGCCTAAAATATGTAAAGAATTCAATACAGCTCTCTCTATCCTGTTCCTTAGTCAGTGTGTATTACAGAACTGTTAGTTAGAGGCTTAATGAATTAGAGCCTGCTGGAGATGCCACACCTCAGCTGACCAGTAATTAACAATCAAAAGATTTGAACTAGCCCTCTCCAAATCCTATTGTGTTCCTGCCCATGAGTCTGTGACTAATGTCAGACTGAGTCTTGCCATGCTCAACAACACTATACACAGCTTTCTCCGTTTGAGTGTAAGAAGCATATACTGTATGAAAAAATTGATTCGAGTTTTTTAGAGTGCGATTTCATATGGTCTCTGGTGAACTTGATAGCATTCTACCAGCGGCTGCACTTTGCTCCCAGACAGATGTACAAAGGTCATGGGCATTGTAGAGAAATAATTGTGAAATCCTGATGAATGTCTGGCACATAGACCATCTCAGAAGAACAACATCTGAATCATCAGCTAATGGTCAATGCAATGCAAAGACTTTAAATGAAAGACTTTTAATGAAAAACAATTAATTTTGGCTTATTTGTGATTTGTGTATTTTAGATACTTGAACTAGACTTTGGACTACCTTTTTGATATGGAAAGTATGTTTTCTTAATGGAGATTTAAATATTACATCATCTATGATCAGTTTGACGTCTTACTTTACACTTGTAAATTGTAGTTGTATCAACAATATCCCATTATTAATGTGCCGCAATTAGGCCAGAGTTTACAACAAGCTCCTATTAATTAATGTTAGATAATGTAATTTTTGAATATCCGCACTGGAATTAAATGAACTTAATATACTAAAGAGAGGGAACTTATACATCAGTATAAAATACACTGTAAAATTCATTACTTTACTTAAAAAAAAAAGTAAACTTGTTGCTTTTTAAGAAATTAATTTAGTCAAAGTGAAGAAATGTGAGTAAATTTGTTGTTAAAATTAAGTAAGGATGCTTTCACATCTTTGGTTCGGTTCATTTGGTCTGGACCAAGGGCAACAAATGGTACATTGTGCTCAGCTCATCAGACTAAGGCAGCTGAATTAGTCCAAAAGGCGCAGTACTTTTTGCGGTTGGGTCTGTTGGGATTGGGATTGCGGTTGGGATCATGTTCTCATCACAAACGAACTGCTTAAGGGTTTGTTTTTGGTCCGCTTTTGGTGTGCACTCAAATGCAATTGCCACATTCAGACCTGCCCAAACTAACTTCACCAAGAGGGAAAACGAACTCTAGTGCGATTCAACCGAACTAAATAAGGCAGGTGTGAAAACAACCTAAATGAACTATGTGCATAATTATGGAAATTAAGTTCAGTCAACTTAATAGTTCCAAATTTCAATGGGTTTACTCCCTTTTTTAAGTTAAGTCAAATTGTCGCTTTTAGGGCAAAAGGTACTCGGTTTTTAAAAAAAAAAAGTTAATGAACTAATCACTTTAATTTATTTGAACATTAACACTGATTTGAAATATTACTAATATTAAGTTTGTCACTGTAAAAAGCTAGTAAAATTGTGTGCCATTTTGCAACTATAAGGAGTCAGTTTCAGCTGTTTAACTCTTGAGATATTTGGAGTCTGACTTACAGTAAATGTAGAGGACTACATAGGTCATTTGAGGTAGGTTGATGTGCAGACCCCTGAATCTATCCTCTTAAGGCATCTTGGCTATTTGCCACAGAAATTCTCTCTTCTGCCTACACACACACACACACACACACACACACACACACACACACACACACACACATGCAGCTTAGAAGAATAGCGGTGTGTTTATTACAAACTAAGTGCTGTAATTCCCGACTGCATCTTGAACAAACTGCAATTACTTGATTTGTGGAAATTCACAAATAAGAAACCACAAGCTAGAGAATTGAATCCACCCTTATCTCTGTTATATAACAAAAGAAGCTCTTTTATGTGGCTATGAGGCAACTCGGGTATCTTAGGCAATTTTTAGGGCTGTTTTATTGTAAAAAAAAATATTTCAAGCATTCTGAAATGTTTGCATATAAATTCTGATATGTTTAAATAGTAATTCACAACAACACGACATGAAATGAAATGAACATTTGGTCAAATTATTTTACCCACCCTCATGTCTTTCAAAACCCATTAGAAGCATGTACAATTAACAAATACTTTAAAAAGTTTTTGGTGAATAGAGTTTTAATGGAGGGACAAAAAACTAAATTGACATGAGGTTGAGAAAATGACAGCAGGTTTCATTTGGTATGAACTACATTTTAAATGGTTGTTGACTTTTATGCATTTTTGAGCACTGCTACTGGTTAATGTCATTAATTTGTTTATTACATATAACCTAAATCACTATATCCCATTTTGAAAATGAATATTTGTATCCATTTCTCAGTGAATATCGGTTACTCATTTTCATTAAATACCTTTAATAAAGATGAATAAATAGTGTAATTGTATTGTTCATGTTTTGTTCATGTTAGTAAAAGCAGTAATACAACTTTATAGAAAAATGTCACCCATATTTCTGTACTCACCAAGCATTTTACTCAGCTCCGCATTGTGCAGGCTTGGGGTTTGCTTCGCATGCCTCTTGTGCTAATCTTTTGCCCACACCATAAACGAGACTAGTATGTCTTTATGTATACTAAAACAATAAAACATTGTATCACAAAAAAAGAATAACAGAAAAGTTAATGATTTAATGTCACAGTTGATAAATATTTTGTATAATATTAGAGTTAAAAAAATCTACATTAAATTTAAACTGCATTAAGTAATTTTTTCCCCTCAAAGACTAAAAATGAAAATTTAACTCAATTATTATTTCATGTATATTTATTTATTTATTTGGTAAGTAGCCTTGAAATGTAAGCACAATCAATAGACTCATTATCTAAAAATAAAGCATTTCAGAATGTCCCGATCACCTGAGTTCATCTAGCAATAATGCATTAGTAATAAATTGAAACAACCCGCCATAAATAAAGACTAACTATCCCCCTATCAGCATATCTGAACAAATCATTGATGAAGGTTGTGTGTTTACACCTCAACAAACCGAAGTCGTGTCCATGTTAATTTAATCTTAGCTGATTTTGATTTGATCTTCATCTTGATGAGTGATGAAACAAGTTAGCGGATTGCAACACTATCAGCATTGGCAAAAAAGGTGCAACCTTTGCCCCATGTTTGTCCTTGTACTGCGTTAGATAGATTATATGTGTTTGTGCTGCTACAAACTACCATTACCAGGTACTCGCATGCAGCAGTCCATCAGCTCCCAACTGAATGGTTAAAGCCACAGGTTTTAATGTGCTCTTTCAGGAGAGTGTCCTCATGCATTTACTCCAACAGCACATTCTTTCATTACACATTATGCACTGCAGTTTTAAAGCTTAATAATGGGGAAAATTGATGTTTTGCCAAGGCACTCATGTTCATAACAGGCACTTGATGTTCCCATAGTTACTCTGTTCTCTGACGTCTGTAAAGCAAATAAATAAATTGCATTTTGCATTCTGATATATTTCATTTGGAGAGTATTTACATTCTGTTTGGCTTGCAGACTACATTTTCTTTGTGTGTGTGTGTTTTTAAGAAGGCTTGTTTACACCAGGGATTATGTATTTGAACAAAAATGACAAGGGAAATAAAATTTTTCTCTTTCAATATGTTTTTAAATGCTGTTTATTCTGGGGATGGTAAAAAAAGCAGATTTTGTCAGCATCATCACTCCAGTCTTTATTGTCACACATTATCACTCAGAAGTCAAATATCGTTATTTTGCACTCAATTATTAAAATTTTAACTGTTAAATGTTTTTTTTTAATAGATACATATAAATGTGTATTATTATGGTTTTAGTTTATATTATTATTACATTTTTGTAAATGTAAGTTTGTGGTTTTGTTTTTAGAGTTAAAAAAATAAATGTAAAAATTCAATTAAAGTTTTATTTAAATTAAGTTTTATATTTAAGTAACTTAAGTACTTTAACTGGGGCGAAGCAGTGGCGCAGTAGGTAGTGCTGTTGCCTCACAGCAAGAAGGTCGCTGGTTCGATCCTCGTTTGCAAGGAGTTTGCATATTCTCCCTGTGTTCGCGTAGGTTTCCTCCGGGTGCTCCGGTTTCCCCCACAGTCCAGAGTGTGTGTGTGTGGATGTTTCCCAGAGATGGGTTGCGGCTGGAAGGGTATCCGCTGTGTAAAAACTTGCTGGATAAGTTGGTGGTTCATTCCGCTGTGGCGACCCCAGATTAATAATAAAGGGACTAAGCCGACAAGAATATGAATGAATGAATAAATAGTACTTTAACTTTATTGATCTTATTATGCACTCATTTTTGTGAATGTTTTAGAACTTCTGGAATAATAAACAGAAAAAAATAGTCAAACTACTTGCTCTACAAACAAGTGTGCTGATGACATAAAAAGTAGAATAACATCATAAGAAAATATCAGTTTAAAACGTCAACAAGTATGCTGTTTCTGACATCTAAAAATTAATGAAACTGAATGAGACTGGAAGTCTCGAACCAAAAAGATTCCAATGGTTGCGCCGCTCGTTCATCAAGAGTAAGGTCAATAAGGTTACCTAAAACTGTTTGTAATGGTTTTATTATTAGTTAAAAATGTCTAATCTGACTCTCTCTTGTCATCTCTTCACAGACTCTAGTCCTCTTAACTCGTCCCCCTCTCAGCCGCCGGTCATGAGCTCTATGGTGGGTCATCCGTCCGTCATCAGCTCCTCTCGCCCCCTGCCGTCCCCCATGAGCACTCTGGGCTCCTCTATGAATGGCCTGCCCTCACCCTACTCCGTCATCACCCCGTCTCTCAGTTCGCCCTCCATTTCCCTGCCCTCCACACCCAGCATGGGCTTTAACACCCTCAACAGCCCACAGGTAAAAACCTGCCCATGAATCTGTGCACTACACGGTTATCTACAGGGTTCTGGAAATCCTTGAAAAGGCTGGAATTTTCAGCTAGTGTTTTCAAGGTTTTAAAAGTGCTTAGATTTTGGATGTAAGCGCTTGCAACTGCTTGAAAATGTAATTGTGTGGCTTTCATAATCATTTGTTTATAAATTGGTGATAATAATTCATCCATATTTTTGTTTTTGCATAAAATGAAAACTGTCATAGCGTGTGCCTGTAGACTTTTTTACATTTAAGATTCGAGTAAATTGCATTTAAGTGAGTAAATGTTAGTAATTCAGTGTTGGACTAGCGGTAAACGTGCTATATATATATATTTTTTTTGGGATGCTATACTTTACTATCCTAAAGAATACCATAACTAAAAGCATGCAATATAGTGTTGTATGAACACTACCGGACAAAAGTCTTGTTGTCAATCTCAGTTGTAAGTACAACAAATAATAACTTGACTTCTAGTTGATCATTTGGAAAAGTGGCAGAAGGTAGATTTTTCAGATGAATCATCTGTTGAACTGAATCCCACTCATCACAAATACTGAAGAAGACCTTTTTGAAACCTGCATGGACCCAAGATTCTCACAGAAATCAGTCAAGTTTGGTGAAGGAAAAATCATGGTTTGGGGTTACATTCAGTATGGGGTCATGCGAGAGATCTGCAAAGGGGATGGAACCATTAACAGCCTGAGGTATCAAGACATTTGTGCCATTATATTACAAACCATATGAGAGGACAAATTCTTCAGCAGGATAGCGCTCCTTCTCCTACTTCAGCCTCCACGTCAAAGTTCCTGAAAGCAAAGAAGGTCAAGGTACTCCAGGATTGGCCAGCCCAGTAACCAGATATGAACATTATTGAGCATGTCTGTGGTAAAATGAAGGAGGAGGCATTGAAAATGAATCCAAAGAATCTTGATGAACTCTGGGAGTCCTGCAAGAACACTTTCATTGCCATTCCAGATCACTTTATTAGTAAGTTATTTAAGCCATTGCAGAGATATATGGATGCAGTTCTCCAAGCTCATGGGAGTCAGACACAATATTAATTCTTGTTTCCACTGCACAATGACTTTATATTCTATACTGTACATTATTTCTTTTAAGTGACAAGACTTTTGTCTAAGCAAAGTCAGACCTTACTGTCCTATTTAAATAATAAAAAATCAAGAATGATCATATTTTAATTTAGTAAAATAAGCATAATCTAGAGGCGTTTGTCCTTCATATAAGCCACTTCTGATACCAAATGATCAACAAGAAGTCAAGTTATTATTTGTTGTTCTTAAAACCTGCTTAGACAACAAGATTTTTGTCAGGTTGTTTATGTGTGTAAATATGCAATTTGCCACACTCGTAAAATGCTAGAACAATTTTAAAATGAACCTGGAAAGTTCTTAAAAAGAGCTTAAATCTGACTCTGTAAGTGTAAGAACCCTATCTAGTATGATGTTGTTTTGTTAAAAATAATCTTTATTTCCTTATATTATGTTGCTGAAATATTCAAAATATGTTTTTATTTAAAATATTTTAATAAAAACAAATTTAGATTTGTCCACCAGTTAGGTTAGAGACCTATGAGTCACTAAATGAGGCATAAAAATAGGATGTGTAGGATGTGTGTTTTGAAGACACTTTGTTATTATTGTTCATTTATTAGTTTTTTTGGACACTAGAACTGAATTTACAAATAGTTTTGAAACAAATCTTTACGCTTAACAAAAGAAATTGAATATGTAGGCTAATGGCTGTCTTCAGTGGAGTGCGTACAACACTGTTTTCTTATCCACTAAAGTAAAAGAGTAAAGAGTAAAAGTAAAGTAAAGAGGAAGTAAAGAGGTCTAATGGAAGAGGCTTGTTTTTTATCCTCACTGCAGATGGTCTGTTTTACTGTTTTCTCACTAGTGAAGCGTTCAGTTTTTCCACTTACAAATTCCATCATGTAAATAGGAAATACTCCTTAAGGGAATGTGAAATGAGACTCGGCTTGGTTTATTGCTTGTTATGCTCAAAACACACCCATAACTCATTAAGAGAATAAGCACAACCTTGTTAGACCATGTGCCGCAGTGCGAAGCATATTTTAATGTCCTTAAAATATCAAAAATGGGTTCGGACACGACTTTATGCTTTTACACTGTTCGCTTTAGACTTAGAATGTGTGTTTCAGTTTTTATCAGTTTAAACATTCACGTGCAAGACATGGTAGAAAATTTCTTTCTGTGACGTTCTCTTTT